TGATACTGATTATGAGGCTGAGAGCCTGAGATATGTATGTCACGAGGTGACTTGATTGATATGAGGCCGAGAGCCTAGTGATGATGCCATGAGATGGCTTGATATTACGCTTGGGCCGTAAGGTGCCCTTCCAGGAGTCTGTACACCCCCAGTGAGCGTGGTTACCCATTATGATGTGAGATTGAGCCCGAGGGGATGGTATTGTTTTATGTGATTGCCCAAGGGGCTGGTACTATTCTGAGATATTGCCCGAGGGGTGGATTTGTTGATACTGTGCCCGAGGGGCGAGCCTTTATATGTTTACTTTTTATAATTGACTGTCAACTACCTGCTTAACTATTGAAAAAGTCTTTTCATGAAAACTACATTTGAGTTAAAGAATTTTACCTATCTTTCACTGATTTACTGGTTTTAAATGGTTTTACTGCTTCATTATAGAATGCTTTATGCCCTACGTGATTTCTTGCTTTCAGTCTTTATTTATATTTGTTACTCACTGAGTTGGAGTACTCACTTTACTCCCTGCACCCCTATATGCAGATTCAGGCGTTGTTGATCCTGCTAGTGCGAGTTGAGAGCTCCCGGTGGACATTCAGAGTTCACGAGGTAGTTGCTTGACGTCCGCACACCCGTGTTTCTCCCTCTTTGTCATTTCTATCTCTAAATCAGACAGTTTGTAATAGTTTATAGACTTCTCAGACTTGTATTAGAACTTGTAGATGCTCATGACTAGTGACACCCCCGGTTTAGGGCTGTGTTGGGTTCTTCCGCGTATTTGTGATATTACCTGCTACTTTGGATTATTTTATTATATTTCGACTATTTCTTAATGCTTAACTATTAAAAATTGAAAAATGGGAAGTGTCGGTTGGCCTTGTCTTCACGAGAGGCGCCATCACGATCGGGTTTGGGTTTGGGGTCGTGACAAGTTATATCCAAACCAAAAATGATGATTTTCCAAGATAACATTAGATTTCTCGGTCATAATATCGAAAAGGGAAGAATTATTCCCATTAATAGAAGTATTGAATTTGCTTCTAAATTCCCTGATATTATTACTGACAAAACTCAACTTCAAAGATTCTTAGGAAGTTTGAATTATATATCTCCTTTTATAAAGGATTTGGTCAAAGATACTACTCTTCTTTATGATAGATTGAAGAAGAATCCGAAAGCTTGGACAGATAGTCATACAGAGTCAGTCAAAAGAATTAAACAAAAGGTTAATAACCTTCCATGTTGAACTCTTGCTAATCCCACTTGGGCAAAGGTTATGGAAACCGATGCTTCTGATATTGGTTATGGTGGGATTTTAAAACAATGCTCTCCGATAGATAAACAAGAATATCTTGTTCAGTTTTACTCGGGAAATTGGAATGATTCCCAGAAAAATTATGCAACTGTAGCTAGGAAAATTCTTGCTATAGTTGAATATGTTATGAAATTTCAGATTGATTTATACAATCAGAAATTTTTAATTAAAACTGATTGCCAAGCTGTAAAGTTTATCTTTAGTAAAGATTTTAAACATGATGTTTTCAAACAGACGTTTGCAAGGTGGCAAGCTTTATTAGTCCCCTTTGATTTCGAAATAATATACAAAAAAGGGTCTGATAATACCCTTCCTGATTTTCTTAAAAGAGAGTATCTGAACTAATAGTGCCATCTCTGAGAGTTACTATAAAGCTTTTAGGTAAGCCTCTTAAAGTAAGTGGCTTAAAAACGACTTGTATTAAGCCTATATGTATGAATCTATGTGAATCCCTATAAGAGGCTAAATCACTTTCAGATAATAATCTGAACGTAGCATGTTCACTATCTACAGTGATAGTCTCTTCAGTAGTTTTAACTATTTGTTTTAAACCTATTTTTTCAAAAGTACCTAACTGGTATATTACCTTAGGTTTGACTAATGGTATAGTCCACTTATTAAGCAGGTCTAATTCTTGGGGCAATTCATATTCCTCTTTTCTACTGTTTTTAACAGTAGTCTTCTTCCTAATGATATTCATTAAGGAAATAGTGTTAGACTTAGCTTCTAAGGTTTCTTTACTAATTCACATAAGGAATTAGTAAAGATACTAATTACAACTAATTACTACTCTATTTGATAGTGGAGCAGATTTAAGTTGTATAAAACAAGGAGTAATACTCTCCAGATATTTTTATAAAATCACTCATCATTTAAAAAATGCTAGTAGTGTTCAAATGGGTATTTCATATAAATTACCTAGGGCTTATATTTGCCAACATAATGTTTGTATTCCTGAAAGTTTTATTTTGGTAAAAGATATTGATCGGGACTTAATACTAGGTGTCCCATTTTTCTATAAGTTGATTCCTTTTACACATTGGGATACAAAAAGTTTTACTGGAACTTACAATAGAAGAGGAATCACTTTTGAGTTTATAACTCAGCCAATCCAAAGATTTTGAATGACATTATCTCTAATAATATTTCTTCAAAAGTCCATCACATTGAACTTTTGAAAAATGAGATTTGTTCTCTTACTATTGGGACAGGATTTAAAAAATCCCAAATTAATAGAAAAAATTAATTTTCTCAAAAACCATTTTTCTGCTTCTATTTGTGGTGACCATCCAAATCAATTTTGGAGCAGAAAAAAGCATATCATAAGTCTTCCTTATAAAGAAGATTTTTCTGAGGATAATATCCCTACCAAGGCTCGTCCTTGTTAGATGAACTCCGATTATCTGAAATTATGCAAAGAAGTCCTTGGTCTCACTATTATCAGACCATCTTCTAGAGAAGAGAAGTGTTCGATGATATTCATAACTAAAGAATAGACTGAGTTTTGGACAGTCTTTTCTTCTTCAGTCTTGGTCGCGCTCATTATTTGAAAACGTTGGTCATGAGTGAGATAATTATCCCACCAGCCTTTTAGCTGACCAGTAAATCCGGCTATAATCATTTTAGCAATTGCCCTATCTGTATTTTTATTAACACCAAGTTGCTTTGTGCTTCACTTGCTGCACATACTTCTTCATCTGAAGTATTTCCAATGGAGGACATTGATATATCATCCCCAATTTCTGTTTCGAAATTTTTTGCTAAATCTTTCTTTATTTCCTCGAAATATGAAGCGAAGATCTCTTCCTTGGATATAGCTCCTTTTTTCATTTGGAGCTTCGTGGTAACCCGTTGGAAGGGGCTTAATTCTCTTTCGTCAATATTTGTTACCTCTTGGTTTACCTCAGCTATAAGCTTGTCCAATTTTTCATGGATCTTAATAACCTGTTCACCCAAAATACTAATATACATATTAGTATAATTATTTTGGGTGAGCATGATATTCAGATTTTTGCCTGTTCTTGCAACAACATCATTTTCAAATATTTTTGAAAAAGAATCTTTGATATTATCATCTAAATCAAGGTCTTTGATTTTATCCTTGATCTTGCAATCCTTGGCATAAGGGTCTATTCGTCCACATTTATAGCAGGCCTGAGGATTTTTTGATTTAATAAAACCCTTTCTAGCTTTATAAAGATATAATTTAACTTATTCTTTAATAGTTTTAATAAAAAAATTAAAATTTCACATTAAGTACAAAAAGGAAGAAGAATTCAATTTAATTTTTTATTAAAAATTATACAAAAATAATAATTTTAATAGTAGATTTATGATACATAACAAAAGAACTTCTCTGTTTAACCTTTGAACTAATTCAATACCATCCATTAGAAAAATAATATAATAATATTCGTATTACGGATAATCACTAAATAAAAAAATTAAAATATTTTATAACAAAAACTAATAGTATATAAAGAGGAGAATAGATATAATGTGATTCTATCCACATTTTTAAATTTATTTGATAAAATTAAGTAAATAAATAATACTCGAAAGTATTATTGATAAATTTTAACATAATTTGAGAAAGTCATGCATGATAAAGTCAAGTTATATTTCAAAAGTAATACAAAATTATATTCATTGTACTGGTAATTTATAAAAAATTCGTATGTCAATTTATTAATATTAGGTAATGGATAATACTATTAGATAAGTAAGAAACAAAAAAAGAAATAAACTATAAATTTATGGGAAAATATAAAAATACAAGACTTATATTTAGAATTATGATGAGAAAAGACGTACATATACACATAAATAAAATCATAATAAACAAATAGTTATAAAGTAAGAATACTAAAAAAAATCAAGTGATAGTGTAAAAATATATATACTAATTAAATTTCTCATGTAAGAAATTTTAGTTAAAATAGAACTCATAATTTCATAATTAAAAATATAAAAATATAAAGATACTATTAGGATATTATATATAAGATAAGTATATTATATATAGCACAAACTAATATTATTAAAATTATTGGTATATTTTTTATGAAAATAATAAAAGGCTTATCTCTTTATAGTTTATTTTGATGAATTTAAAATTATAATTTAAAAAAAAAGTACATTATGTAAATTTTCAGTAAAATACAAAATAAAAAAACTAATTAAATATTACAGTAGAAAAGAATGTATGAAAAGAGGGGGATAAAGATAATTTTATGATATTTATATTTTGAACTAATTAATAAATAACAGATAAATAAATAACTCTCAAGAAAATTATAGATAAATTAGACAATCGAAGAATTTTGAATAGTATAACAAAACTTAAAAAAAAAGTTTCGAGAGTAAGAAAATTTATATCTATATTATATTAAAAGAGAAGTAGTATCAAAATATTAAGCCAATTAATAAGTTAATAACAAGTCATATTAGTAAATGCATAGTACTAAGTAGTACTTGCTAATTTAGTACTATAAAAAATAAATAGGGAACAAATAATTTATTTGATTACTATATAATATGTATCCTTTGATTTTTTGTATAGCTTTTGTTATATTTCTATATACTATATTAAATAATAAATAAAACTATATTTTAAAAAATAATATGATATATTAAATTATTATAATATTAATATTCTGTCAAATTATTTCTAACAGATATTAAATTTTGTTTATTATTAACCCGTCTCTTCGTGTTTTTCGGAGATAAACCCGTCTCGACATAGAAAGAAGAGAGTTTTGCAAGAGAGAGAGAGACGGGTAAGTAATCCCATCACCATTCTATTGATCTCCTTGATTTAGCGTTTGATTACGAAATAATCTTACTTTTGAGTCCCAATGGCTGTTGTATGCAATTTGCAGGAGGTACCATTGGAATATTCAGAAAGAGTAACTGTATAATAATAATATAATGGAAGAAGTGGTAAGAAGCTGCTCTATCGGATTTGATTTTTGAATTTCGGTCATGTTTATCAATCTGCAATTAATAAATACCGGGATTTGTTTGGAATCAGAAAAAGGATGATAATCTAAAGCTTGTACAAGAAAGAATTGAGCGTGATCCCACTGCTCACAGGATCCTATCGTCGAAGGTGGGCCATGATTTGTTGCTTCAGTTTAAAACATTCTGCCATGGTTAAAATGTGCATATGACCAATGGACTCTTTTAGGCACAAGAATCTGAACTCCAATGTGAACATGCTACATTGCAAACTAAGGTTGATGAGTTTGACCAACTACTGCAAAGAGGCAAAGAGGGAAACCTTTTGGACCATACTTTTAGGGATTCCACTGAGAAGCTTCATTCTGCAAAGAGGGTAAGAACACGCTTTCCTGTATTGAGTTTAAGCTTCTGACGTAAAGGTTGTATCCTATCATGTGGATTTATGTTTCGTTATTTTCGATGATACTATTGTTATCTAAACCTAGTTTCAAATAATTAGCCGAGTTTTGTAGTTTCAACTCCAACTTCGTGTGATTCAATGAGATGTTATTTGCTATATTAAAATAAAAATTAGATGAGTTTGGTTTGTTAAGGTTGTACAAGATTTACCGTTAGTTAGGATTGATTTGACTGATTTATTTGTAATTACACACTTATCCTTTCCACCTTTTCTTGAGCCGAGGGTCTATCGGAAACAACCTCTCTACCTCCGGCTAGGGGTAAAGTCTGGGTACTCACTATACTCCCCGGACCCTACCCGTGGGATTATACTGAGTATGTTGTTGTTGTTGTTATTTGTAATTACACACTTACCATACTGTAAGAGCTTGTACTTGCTATATATTCCCAGCCAAGGTCAAAGGAATAATCAAACTTTTGAGTTGAAACCTCTCTAATCTCTCTACTCCTGCCATTCAACGATTAAGGAATCCAAGTCAACTATTGGAATTTGGCTCTAGGCCATCCAACCATAACCTAGGGTGAGGTCTTGATTCAACCATTCTATTCCCATCCTGCCTTGAGGTCATTAATACCATTTATGATTATTCAATACCATTTAATGCACCAAACCACTATTTGGATTCAACATTACATCATAACAGCCTCCGTAAATCCCCCAAGTGAGTATCATCTCAACCTTTGAACAATGACCAAACTCTACCATATATCATCTACCTATATTATTATAGCTCATACAACAAGCCCAAGAAAGCGCAAATTACCTCAAAGTAGCAAAATCCCAACTTCTTAATTTTTGAAGAAAGTTTGTGGAATTTGGGTTTCTAGGCAAAATCATATGTTTTTGGAGGCTGAGATTCACATTAATGTGCATTAAATAATCCAAATGACTTAATGATCTCACCTTTTTGGTTGGATCAAGTCTTGGGGAAAATTCTTTATTGAAGTTGCGTCCTTGTTCAAAACTTCGAGAATTGGGAACAAAACCGACTCTCAGCTTTTATAGTGCTAAGGCCTGATACCAGTTAGCTATGGTGCTATCGCATGATTAAAGTCTCTTCTTCACATCGTGTGGCCTCGCCATTCATGACCTGGTCATCCTACCACATGGGCTTCATGCACTGGCCACTCAGTGGCCTTCAAGTGTGTTGCCTCGCCTTGTGAACTCCCTCATCCTAGATCATGTTCCACGAGGTTGGTCATGCGGATACACTATAGCGTGACCCACCTATGGCCTTCACGCGGTAGCGTGATCGACCAGTAGCTGATCCAACATTTAAATTTTATAAGTTTCCTTTTTGCTATGATATTCACCCATGTCACCTCCAACTCACTTCCACCACCCAAATCAACATCTGCTTCAATATTCAATCGTCATACTCAATTATTAACAATAAACATCAAGCAATTGGCTCATTTTAATTAATGAAATGAGTTTAAGTATATGTAAGAACTTGTGGGGCATATGGATTGACCCCGAATGCATAGCGACAACCTTTGTCAGCTGGAAGACAAGCTAGCGGGTGTTCCTAACAAATCCTTAGAGGACCTTGGATTCAATACATTTGTAACAAGCTTGGATTTTATGATATGTATGCTCCAACTTGAGGAGTGGTAAGACTGTATGAGAGTTACTATTAATTGGAAATTGATTTTATTTGGAATTTGATTATGATTTGATTCGTAATTTATACTTGCCATATTTTAAACTCTTGTAGATTACTCTAAATTCCCACCAAACTTGAGAGAATAATCAAGCTTTTGAGTTGAGTCCTTCTAATTCTCGTGGCTGACCAATTTGAGAGCTTTTCTCTGATATGCTACAGACAAAAGTTTATTCTTTGTTTGTGCGGCTTGGATGTTCATTACGCATACCTAGATGTTGCTTCAGTTTTACCGGAGTTATAAAGAATTTGATGGACCCTGAATTAAATCAACTTTTTTATTTAGTCAATATTTTGTGGTCTTGGCTTGTTGCTTTGTGAGTCTTCTGTATGTCACTGCTACATTAGTATGCCCCTTTCCATTTTGTGTTTGGAGATATTAGTTGTTACTCGAATTTGAAGAATCTAGTTGATAAGGTTATTAAAAAAAGAAGAATTACTAGTTGATCAGGTCTGATATTGTAATTACTAAATTGTGCTTTACCCCCAAAAAGGAAGTGATAAATCCACACTTGTTTAGAGCGGATGTCTAGAAACACCAAGAATCTAAGGTAGTTTTGGCTCAAAAAAAGTAATCTAAGATGGAAGTACGATCTTGGGGGTATAAATTCTCGGTGCTAGCCTTGATGGTTATGGTAGGAATTGAAGATCATTAGTGGTATTAAAAGTATGCTTTTGACATTTGTCTTCTATAGCCTGGTGTTATTTGCAGTTTTCAACTGATTATAAGCTTTAAATTACATGCATGTTTGTGAAAAAGAATTCTTTTTAACTGTTTCACACAAGTGAAATCACATGTCAGAAAAAAAAACTAGTGAAATCACCTCCAAATTGGACTAATTTGAAATCCATCAAAAGCTTGAAGTCAGTGGTAATTGTAGAGGATAAATGTGGATTCAACGTATAAGTGTTTCAGTTAATCTGATGAAGATCTAGCTAAAAGTCAAATTTTATGGCTCAAGGTTTTTAAGTTTCTCTTAAGTAGGTGAGTGGAAATCTATATTCTCATTGCCTTCCTTCAAAATTCCACTTTCGTTAGTATGAGTATAAGAGTTGGTATTTAGTAATCTGGAAATTTTAAGGGATTGAAAAAAATAGGGACCAAATCTTGCTTTGGATGCATATGAAGTATAGTTAGGCCATGTGTTCCTTGCGGTCATTGATCAACAGTAAATGATCAATAAAGACAAAAAAAGGATGATAGAAATTGTCTAGTGAAATCAAGAAGATAAAGTCATCTAAAAATGCGAAGATTTTTCTCTTTTCATATCTCCGGTCAACATATATGTGGATGTCCACTAATAACTTTGCATTCTGCAAAAGTCCTTAGTAGAATACTACGAGCCCGTTTGGACATGCAATTTTTTTGCTTTTTTCCAATTTTTTTTTTTTGAAAACAATGTTTGGTTATCCATATCTTACCAATTTTTCCAATTTCACTTGAAAATGCATTTTCAAATTTGAAAAACTGGTTCTTACCAGTTTTTCAATTGAAGATGTATTTTCACTAGTTTTTAATTTTACAAATTTACCCTATACTTTTAAAATTTATAAAATGACCCCATCAATTATTAACCTATAACTACCCACGTGTTTCTCCTCAACTATCAGATGAAGCTTCTGCAGCGGATAATGAACCCTTTTCTTGTGACGACTACCATGTTGCTAAACAATAGCATGTTTGATTGTTTATTTCAAGTAGTATAATTAAATTGGGACGGTTTTGATATTTTTTACAAGTTATGGGGTATAAATTATATTTCATTGTTTTGCAAAAAAAGACATTCAAATATGTTGCAAAAATTATAACCAAACACAACTTTATCTTCAATTCAAATTTTAGTGAAATTCCAAATTTAAAAATTTATTTTGAAATTCATGGCCAAACGCCTACTACAACACCCTAACTTTTACTGTCTCTTTGAATGATGCCAATTTGAGAGTTAAATGCATAGTTATTTCCCTATGATAGGAAAAATATATACTCCCTAAAGAAAAAAGAGAACTAAAGGCTTGCAAGATATTTCTTTAGTTCTGGTATGTATCATAAAGCTTTAGTATTCCTAGGCATAAGGCCTTATCTATAACATGGATCTTGGTTTCTTCTTCTACACTTCTTGCATCCCTCAAGATAAACCCGATCTTGATGCATTTTCTTTCTTTTCAACTTTTAGAAAAATAATGTCAAGTGGACAGCTCTGGGTATTAATTGCTTTTGTCTGTCAAGTTTTCAATCATCCAGGAAAAGTCGACAGCAAACTTGGACTATTTGTTAGATAGCCGAAGGTCATGTGAGTTGTACAACACGGAAAAGTCTCATTAATTATCATTAAAGTGTTTTACAATGCCCTATTTATATATAGTAATTACATAATACCAAATATTTATTCCCCGATGTGGGACACTACAAATATTATTAACTATCTAATATTACTAACTATGTAATGCTTCCTCTTAAGCTGATGCATATAAATCATATGGACTGAGCTTGTTACAGGTGTAATTAATACGAGAACTAGTAAGGGACTTGGTGTTGGTGAAAACATCTGCAAGCTGATCATACGAGTTTACAAACTTTGTAATAATATCTCCTGAGAGTATCTTTTCTCTGACAAAATGACAGTCAATCTCAATGTGTTTATTCCTCTCACGGAATACCGAATTTGTTGCAATATGAAGAACAACTTGATTATTGGGGCAATACAGTTCTTACAGCTTGTTACTTGATTAAGGCACAGAGAAAGAATAGGCATCTCCATTGCGATCTTGCTTAACAAAAGAATCATCAATAAAATATATACCACAATGGAGGGCACAAGTCAAACGACTATAAGATGCAAGATTAAAAGGACATCCAGGGACATCATCTAAAGTGATAGAGGATAGAGGATTAACTTGTTCAACTCCTTTTGCTTTTATTTGGACTCCATTGGCTAAAATAACATTGGGAAGAGACTGTTGTGAGAATGCACGGGAGAAAAATCCATTATTGATATTCTATTATATTAAGTGTTATACAATAGCCCTATTTATAACTATACACAATGCATATTCTACTCCTATTCCATGTGGGACTAGGGTTATTTATATAACTATCTAACACTCATCCTCTAGCTGGTGCATACAAATCATATGTACCGAGTTTGTTACATATATAACTAATACTAGGACCAGTGAGGGACTTGGTGAAAATATCTGCAAGCTGAGCATTCGACTTCACAAACTTTATAGCAATATCTCCTGAGAGTAT